GCAACTTTTTTACATTATAGTGTATAGATGATTATAGCTGCAAGAAATAAGATGATATTCTTGCTTTGTCAACTCCTGTCTTGGTCCTTAGTTAGTTCCCACCGAGACTGTGCAGCGGCGCCACTTGTTACGCTCAAATTGTTGATTTAACGCCCGCCAAGATACAGACTTTATTTACAAAAATTATGATTTCATTTTTTGGGGTTATGTTTAGAAGTAACTTATCTAAAAAACTGTCGGTTTACTTTTTCCATAAATCGTCTTGATCGAGAGTAAAAAAATAAAACAGATTAGCGCAATAATCGGTGCGAAACATCTAATCTTTAAACAATCGGTATTCAGTTGCTATAAACTTAAAAAAAAAATAGTCCGAACATTTTGTAGATAAAGGTCTAAATTTATAAAATAGTTCTTAAAAAAAATTGTTTTTTGAAAAACAACTAGAGTTTTTATGGCGGGCGCTCTTATGGAAATTTACATTGGGTGCAGTGGGTACAGAAGACTCTTAATTTTGCACCAAATAATGTAGTGATTGATGAAGGTAGTAATGCATGAAGTCTATAAGATTTAATTCACTAATAATTTCAGTTGCAATTTCTTATTGTATGTTTGAGGCCGTACGTGCAAATCAAAAAATAAGCTAATAATGATACATTTGAAATCTGTCGTATTTAAAACGCAACCGGCGAACATAGACGAACTAAGACGGAGAATAATTCAAGAATGTCGAAATATTGCAAAACCAACATTTGAAAAGGTTCGACAAGAGTTTGAGAATAGATTATAACTGGCGATCAAAAATGAGTTGCTGTCGAGTCGGCTTTGGAAATTCAAGTTAAATACGATTTTCCATGTTTATTTTTTGATTTGCACGATAATTACTGACCTAAATGTAATGCTATTTGGTATGGTTGGAAAGCATTTTTTCAGAGCTTTCCAACGACGTATCACACATGGGGGGTCACTATTTAAGATTTAAAAGTTGGGGTGGCTAGGGCGCAGGGGGTGTGAGGGGGTGCGTCGCCAACTATGTCATTGTGATTCCCCCTCCGAATTACCGACACGTATTTTGATTTTTTTAAATATCTCGTTTATTTACTAAGATATGGGGGGTGGTAAGTTTTCAAATTGTCACCCTGTATATTGTAAGCGTATACCCAGAATCTCCAATTAAAAAACCATTCCTATATCGCCCCTCTTCAAATTCTGCTTTTATTCGAGAGTTGGCAAAAATTGTTTTATCGGAAGCAGATCCAGGCCATCTTGCTACTATATTAGAAATTTTTAAGTTGGAGTCAGAGACTGTTTGAACATTTAAAGAAAACCAGCCTTTCCTATTACGAAAATGTTCAGCATTATCTCCTCCTGTAGCAATAATAAATATTACATGATATATTTTAACGACAATTACACACCTGG